ATGATTTGTGGAACGTGGGGGATGGTAGTGGTGGTTTTTTACCACACGAAATAGTAAATCTTTTAGTACTCTGCGTACTCGAGTAAAAAGTGGGGGAGTCATCAACTACGATCTTATAAGTCATGACTACCAAAGCAACAATTTGAGTTTACAATGAATACGCGTAGGATTTAGTGTTTATACTAATGGTTACAGAGTGTCCGCTGATCAGGTACTGGTGTTGACGCAGAATCCAATGAAGATGAACTTGAAAGAAACGTGAATGGTTCTTCTCTCTAGGTTGTGCTTTCACAGGACACTAACTAAGGCATACGCAGTCCTCACGCTTGGTATGGAATGATCGGATGGTCCCTTAAAAGTCGATCTTTTGAGGCAATTTATCCGAGGCAATAAGCTGCCGTCTCCCTTATCGACTAGGAAAGTTAGGTTTGAAATGGATTTATTCAAATATTCTAGTGTGTGCGTGGAAGAATGACTGCGTGGTATGTACGGACGGACACTTGTTAAAGTCCGTCGATCACTTGGAGAGGGGGGCAATAGGGCTTTAGACGAGGGCAATGGACATGACAGCTAGGGTTTAGATACCAGATAACCTAGTTTTTGATACCACACATTGATATGGAAAGTTGTAAATTAAGGAATCCTTTATGTTGAGTTATTACCAAATGTTATTATTATTACTACTGTAAACACTGTATGATGTTGATAATGTGAGATTTCATTTATCAGTATGTGGCTGGCTAGATACCTGGTTTCTTAATGCGCCACAGGAAGACTCAGCAAAGAGTCGAAGCGAAAGTACAGTCAGTGTAAGGTTGGCAGAAAATCCTAGTTACCTGCTCATATGGATGAGATGAGGTAGATGAGATGTACGAAGTCGTAAATTATTCTCTAAGGTGTTCTTACTTGCTCAGGTGAGCCCAACCATATGCATGAGAAGATACTGGTATGACCTTAGTATTACATAGCTACCTACCTACGCTTGGTCTTACTTGAGCAGGTTATTTTGAGGGAATTCAATATAAATACAAATCAACATAAATCCGGTTTTCAACGTTAGTAATATACTACTGCGTTCTGACACTCGTATAGTCAGAGGCAAAATGACAAAATGCTAAGAGTAGGCATTAATTGCTCGCCTTTCATGGGAGCGAGCCCCCAACCCCCCATAGCTCGCTACGCTCGATATCAATCTTCTATCTTAATTATCTAGTCTGCCTCCACGGCAGTGGCCCTCAGAGAGCCAGCGGAGCGTCATTTCTTTGATTACTACCTATCTATAGGACGAATAGTAGGTTGTTGTAAAAGTGGTCGTTGGAGATGCTACTACTACTATCACTACTACTACTACCTAGCACCAGTGAACTTTCTCATATATCCAACACGCACCAGTGACTGTGCTATGGATGCAACGAGTATGATGTACACGGCAGAGACGTCTAGGGATTTTCGAGACACTCATGAAATAAGTCAATACCAGATGATGGATATTAACAAATCACAAATCACGAGGCCTTGCATACTTCGCTCCTTGATTTATGATTGGATACATAAAAAGATTGCATAACTCTTGAATTCTTCGCACACAGGGGACTCCCTAGTTGCTGCCACGCCTAGATTTGGAAGTTCTTGGTCTTGCATCTGGGATACTAGTGGGATGCTAAAGTGCTAGTGTGGGCACGCTAAACTCTAACTGGGTATACCCTGTCTCAATCGACCCGGTCTATTCCACTTGATCATCCTCATGTGCCTACTGGGTAGTAATTACATTACTCTGTACTGAGTAAACACCAGAAAGGTGCGCAACACGGTGCGCAACAAGCAACCAAGGGAGACGAAGACCAAAGCTCCAAGTAATAAGAATAAGAATAAGAAACGACTCCAAAATATACATTAATTCTATCTTCCCATATAAACTTTATTGATCTCCTCTACTTTCTTCAAATACATCGTCGCCTCCTCGATTTTACTTTTATCTCAAATTGACCTCTCAGTCTCTCTAATCGCAACCGAGTTGGTTCGCTCTTCCTTTATAAACTTCACTTCCGCTTCCACTTCCACTTCCACTTGCAGTTGCTTGCTTCCATTTCCGGACCCGATCCAAATAGCTCACTTATCTGTCGACGCCCACCATTCCCTGACTCACTCTTACATCTTCTCAACAACTTCACCCTTTTCGACGATAAGGTTCCCGTCCGTTCCGTTTGCTTCTTCAATACACGATCAATAGTTGCTTCGAATTAAATCACCAAATTATTCAATTCGCTTGCAACCTTTCTATCGCAAATCGAAGTGAGTCAGCCCATCAAGGTGTTGGTGTTGGATTCTTCTGAGTCACCCCCATGCCAACCCAACATGTCTTTCCCAGAATATAAATACTAATCTTGTGTCGCGCACTTATAGAGAAAGAAATCAACTGATCCAACAACAAAAATGGCTTCAATAGCTTCATCTGCTCGCAAGATTCCAACATCGTTCGGCCGAGACAGCTTAACTGCTGTAGCGGCTCGAAGTGTTCCTGCTACCAATGGCCACCCTCTTCCTACTCCTCCGAACTCTATTTCTCCCAACCTACCTCCGCATGTTACCAAATCTTTTGGTACTCGTTCGCCATTGCCCCAACTCAACTTGGAGCATGTTGAATCCGACCTAGACTTACAAGACGGAAGTGGAAATGAAGGAACGTCGGATATCGGATCGCCAGGACTGGATACCACTGGTGCTATTACCCCTAGTCTATTGGCTAAACACCACCTTCCTGAAATTCTGTTGGATCATGGCCCACTTGCTATCCGGCACATCATGGGTTATCTCACTACTTCAGTCCCCGGCTTTTCTGGAATTCCTCCCGCGAAAGCTAGAAGACTTGTTGTGGGCGCTTTGGAGGGACGTGGCAATGGCGGTGAGGCTGGCGGTGTAAAAGGAAATGTGTTGTTCGAGAAAGTGGGTTGGGGCCGATGGGACGCGAGACTAAAGGGGCATCCGGCAAGAATGGGTCGAGCTTTTGGAAATTCACCACCACCGAGTTTACCAGATACCTATCCGATTGGGATGCCAATCGCCAACAACCAAGGCTGGTCATTTACGCGAACACGTCTGAACGAACCAGGGTCAAGTTGGGCGGGGGATTCGGCATTTTTCTCCCACGGAGATGATGTCTCGATGCCTGATGAGGCCGACAAAATGTCTTTGGATGGCGATGAGTCGGGCTCTTCCTCGTCTGAGGTTGGAGACGACGTAATGATGGAGGATGACCCAAATGATGTAACGGACGAAGAGGACTGGGCAGCTGTTGGAGCTGCAGCATTGCGAGCAGCTTCTTATTCAGCATCTGGTCCCTTCACTTCTGGGCCACTTCCACAAGTTTTCAATTCTCATGTATATAGGGGCGGGTTGCGTTCTGTTGTTGGTCATTCCCTTCCAGCACCCGCACGAACTCACACCCCTAGCGGTTTCACAGCTTTGAACATGGCTTCTGCAGATTCTCAAGAACGAGAAGCCATTGAAGCACTTTTACGACTTGGTTCTGTATAAATTTCAGCATGGAGTTTTGGGATGGTTGCATATGGCGGGAATTAGCGTGAACCTATTGCCGGCGAGCATTGATCGAATTATTTATTTTTCAACACGCGAATTGACGATCTGATGGGAAACCGAAATGGGAAATGGGATATGCCCCCTCGCATCAGCGAGTACGGGAGCATGGCGTTTTTGATACTTTTTGTGGGATAACGGACGATGACCTTGAGCCTGTGCTAATCCTCGTGCGCTCGGTATCTCTGCCTCTACACAAGCTTTACTTGCACATACATCCTTTTTATATTCAACAATTACTCCACTTACTTTACTGGAGACTTTGCTTTTTTAAGTACGACGATTACGACATATTATTCAACATTCATACCCCCAAATCGTATCGACATTGACGGATGGGAGAAAAATCTTCACTCAAATCAATATAAAATTGGTTTTCTTCACCTTTTGAACTTTTACACATAACTATTTTTAATTTACCCTTGGCGACGCGATATGAGTTAGAGCGAGAGATGACTGGACGCATCATTCTGGGAGGAGAAATTCATAAGATGCTTGACGGGGAATGGAGGAAGGTGATTTTAGGGGGGAGATGGAAATGACGGTCCAGTTTAGGAATTTACTTTTGAGCGCTTAATTGCAGTCTCGAGATCAGAGTTTAATGGACGAGTTTATTTCGCACGATGCTTGATTGTGATTTACTCTTCTATACTGCAATGTGATATGGTATGAGTATTATTTGCCATGTGCATGAATTTCAGGTGAAGGGGCTGTGGATGAAGCTGCCTATGCTTGTCAAGTCTGCGCACGCATTCATGATTTGAGCAGGTACAGGAATAGGTTCTTATGCTCGTTCATCTCATCCCTTGGTGCCTATTTTAATACATGTATCTACGCTATTGATATGGGCTATTCTCGAATTCACCAATCCGTGAATTAATTTTAAGTGTATAAATGGGCTTAGGTTTTAGGCTGGAAAGATTTAGTGAATTGGATGGGATGGGATGGGATGGGATGGGATGGGATAGGATGGGATCTCGCTTCTCTCTTTCTTTCTTTTCTTTTCCCCCTTTTATTGAGTGATGGAGATGGAAGATGGGAGATGAGGATGCTCTACTCTATTTGTTTCTGTGTTTATTGTGGTGGTGAGAGTTATTAGCTTGAGAGGATTGAGAGGTTGAGAGGGTTGAGTGGTGAGGGTTGTGTATGGATTGCGGTTATGATTTATGTATGGTGTGTGGGTTGCTGAGTCTTGTTCCCCCGTTTGGGGGTGGGATAGGAGCTTTCAACGATTGTCCCGATCAAGCTCTAGATTGAAGAGTTTATTCGATACCGCCTAACTGTTTTATTCCAGATGCCTACTACAAGTACAAGATGAGCATTTCTCCCATTGCGAGCTGCTAAGATCGAGCTGTAATAATACACATTGGTGATAATTGCCCCTCGAACAAGAATCATTATACCTTTTATATAAAGATGTCAAATTGCTGTCCCACTAACCTCTCGCTCAAATCCCATAATCGAACTTGGTTGCCTACGCCTACTGCGTGATCTTGGGGTACGGGTCTGATGATGCAGTCTTGGAGGAATCCGCCGGATGATTCTGGGGAGGGGTTAGTGGCTACATGCATGCTGTGGTTTGTGAAGTTGCGGAGAGGGGGAGGAGATTTGGAAAGGAGAGGGGATGGGGAGGGTACCTGAAATAGATGGATCTAAAGCTGCGACTAAGGTGGTAGAACATCCTTCTTGGAGTGTTTTTGGAGGCTCGAATTCTTGGCCTGGAGGGGTGTCAGTTTGATATGCAATGCATGTGGCTGGTGCCTGGGGGGTTATGTACCACCCGAAGATTCGGAAATTTGTTGCAAGACATTGCTCCACATTTCCGAAGTAACATGAGCTTGGAGATTGCTTGTAGGTACGTCTGGGACTTTCGTTAATATTTGATGGTCCTTTCGAATGGGATTTCGAAAAACTTACATCCGGGCTGAAGTGCAAAAGATTGTATATTTCTATCCTTTAGTCTTGCGGCCAAAGTACTAGAGAACAAAACATTCGCCGTTTTAGATTGTGCATATGCTTGCCAAGGATCGTAGTCTTTTCCTTCCTACTCGTGTGATTAATATATGGACAGTTGGATTTGGGAAACATCCATACGTTGAAATTCCAATCATCAAATTGAACACCCCCGAGCTCATACCCAGTACTACTAACATTCACAATCCTCGCTCGCCCTTCCCTCCCTGCCTTCAAAAGTTTCTCCAAAATTAGATTGGTAAGAAGAAAATGACCGATATGATTACAACCGAATTGTAATTCAATTCCATCTTCAGTCGTTTGGTAAGTCGGTACAGCCATTACACCTGCATTGTTGATCAGAATATCGATTTTTTCAACCAGGCTATTGATCAAAGAAGCGGCTTTTCTTATTGATGTCTGAGAAGCGAGATCGAGGGGTACAAAATGGGTTGTGATGGAGGGATTGAGAGTATGAATTTCTTTGATAACAGGAGAAATCTTGGCTTCTGAACGTCCAGCTAGAAGAATGATAGAAGGAGAGGCATGAGCAAGTGAGATGGCGGTCTCGGCGCCGATACTATTGGCTGAAGGACCTGTTATGACGATTATCTTGCCGGTTATGAGAGAGGAGAAATGCTGGACCACGGAGATGCCAGTGCTAGAGCGGGAGAAGGCGGACATTGTTGAAAGACTGTAGTCAATAGATCGTGATAGTGTATCAATCAGATATTCAATCATGCGCAAACAAAAACGATAACTGGAAAGCAATGATAGACTTATCATAGCACGAAAGAAATCACCATCATCATATACTCGTAATACTTGTAGCGAGCGATAACCCATTCTTGGCATCTGCATGATTGCAGCATATCGACGGTGAACAATTGAATATGGCTTCGATTTCATTTACATACCTGGTTTTTCACTTACAAAAGAAGTATTTGCTGATCCTCGTCATCAAATGAGATGCAAACGTTTGAATGGAGACATTTTATACCCTGGCCAATGTCAGGTAACTGGGGCAGCCAAGAGAATGATAGAAACGGATTTAGGAGGTAGCAAATGAGTGCACTCCAAAATCCGAACGTCTTCGTTCTTTGGCTGAGATGAATGGTAAGCTGACATTGGAGGTCGGGTAGCATCTCCGTATTGTCAGCCAGGAAAGGAGGGACGACAAGATCAGAAGAGAAGAAAGGTTGTAGAGGTACTCAGGTCAGGTAGAGTCGGTTGTTTAATAGCAAAAGGCCGACAAGGTCATCCCCGCGATCCCCACCTTTGCAAATATTCTGCCCGTGTAAATCATGGAAGCGGTGAGACGAAGATTACCTCCGCGGTCCACCTCAACTCCACCTCCACCTCCACATCCCGAGGTCCTCTGAGGAAGTCATCGTCCATTACGCCATCCGAAATATTCTTCATCGCAAAACGTGTTATGGACGGTTCGCAAGAAGTGTAGTATGGAATCAAGATTGAGCTTTCTATATATACTCTGATTACATTCGCACCCAGACGTCCATGCCCTTTTCGGAAGAGAGGCCAATGGATTTCCGGGGTTTCATGTGAAGCCATGGACAAAATGCCTCATATATGGTATTGATACTAGGACTCATGGCGTCTCTAGTATCGCCAATCTTGTTTCGTCAACATCTTTTTCATTCGCACGGCATTCAGGTGTATGACTGAATTCATTGCACAGATCGACATCGATGATCTATAGGTTTTCTAGCCTTAATATGAGTCCAATCGCCATGTCTTCCTAGGTTCTTTGGGAAGGTCACCTTGCTGCGATTTGTGCTTCTTCTAAATGAACAAGTTTGTGAGTTCCAGCAGTTCCCAATATTTCAACAAATGAAGTACATTTCTGTTTCAGGCAACTCTATCACCGAAAAGCTTTGAGGAACCTTTCCATATATTGTTTCTCGCGGATGGTTGTTGAGTATAGCTATTGGGGCATATAGTTCGAGCTGAAGTGGTGTAGTATTGCAGATGCCTTGGATAGGACGAGACATTGTATGACTCGCAGTATTTTATGCATCCGCAATCTTAGTATAGTTCAGGCCACACTTCTTTTGTTTTGTTTCGTATGGATCACATTACAAAATTGATACGGATCCATTCGCCCATTTGCTAAGATTTCATATACCTATTTACACATCAAACCAGTCGGTAATCGATAAGTTATTCATCTACAAAGACCGAACCTTATGATGCATTGAGTCCGTTCTAGTGAGCAGATCCGGCATTGACAATGCCGTGCTTTAGTGCGGCAATTTAGTCCGTTTTTGTAGGTGTCTGGAGTCAGTAAAGATGTCCAAGCAGTTGAAACTGTTAGTCTTGTCTGTGTCATTATGGGGTTTTCGTCAATCTTACGCCACTTTTATTGGAGAACACCGTTCAAGGAGAGCCGGCATATCGGTATGAGATTGGCACGCGCGTCAAACGGAGAGTGTTCATGACCATGTCAAAACAGTGTTCAAGAATTCTGTATCTCTCCCTCGAAGGTGAGCTCTCCTGCTCAAGTATCATTTGCACGATACAGAAGAGTGGCGGTGTATGCTAGATGTTATGATCGACGGCACTAGATTCTCCTTAAATGACGTTGTCTTACTAGTGGTATTCCGTCAATACATCTTTCCTGTTAGGTCAGTGCTGTATACACCATATCTACCAAGACTTCCAAGAAGTTCAACAGCTATCATTATGATTGCACGTTCGTTGGCGACTTGGCATATCTTGAGAAATTTGTTCGATAAAGAAATCCATCATGATAGATAATGAAAAGCCGACAGAGCCCTTGGCTACTTCAGACCTCAGTGAGGCATCATTGCCTATAGGAGCGGATTCAATTTCAAACATACTTCAAAGACTCGATGATTTGGGTCTCCAATTATCAGACGATAACATTATCGATTGGCTTCCAAAAAATCAAAATCATCCTCGAAATTGGCCTTTGAAACGCAAACTGGCGAATACAGCTTGCATTTTCTTGCTTGATACATTTGGGTGTGTAATTCCCCATTGTCAATTAGAAACACTGTAAGATTAACTCGTTGCAATAAAGTGCTTTGCTAGAATCCGGGGGTGTTTGTTTCCCCAAAATCTTTTTTTTCACGGTGTGTACTGACAATTTCAAAAGTTAGTCGCAGCGACACGAGCAGCAACAGAATATGGCATTTCACAGAACCAGTCACTCATTGCCTTTTCTCTCATGTAAGTGTACACACTGATTATTGGTTTTCACAATGTTCTTGCTCATCTGTTTGTATAGGTACGGGATCGGTGGAGCTTTGGGAAGCATTATCTTTCCACCATATTCAGAAGCTTTCGGAAGAAAACCGATACTCCTATTTGCAGCTCTTTTGCTACCGCTTAGTTGCATGATTACAGGACTTGTACCCTCCATTGCAGGAGTATACATTGGCCGCTTTATCATGGGTGCGACGATATCGATACCTTCAACTATTAATGTGGGCAGTCTGGAAGATATGTGGGAACCTGCGACCCAAGGCCATGCAATCTATGCATGGGTACTATCTGCGGGACTAGGTGCTGCTCTAGGGTAAGTGAACTCGGACAAAAGTCTCGAATCTCTCTTAGAATAAAGAACGGCTGAGGGGAAGTAGTTTTGAAAAATCTCGACTAACTAATAGAATAGACCAATATATGGAACCTACGTCACTAGCGTACTTGGTTGGTGAGTTGATCCAAATTACGCACCTGTAATTTCTCGACAACGAACCCCAAAGCTAACTCAAGACTAAATAAAGGCGATGGGTGTATCACATTGGCTCTATTGTTTCTGCCTGCATACTTGTTGTCCTTCTCCTAGGCATCTCCGAAACTCGCCCAAGTAAACTCCTTGGGAATCATCTTATCGCTATACAATCATGCGCAGGAACACTGAAACTCCGCACACAAACAGCAGATGATCATGTCCCTGATTTTCGTACCTTTTGTCAGAGTGCCATCATTCAGCCAGCCAAAATATTCTTTCAGGAGCCCATCATCCTCACAATGGCAACCTTATCTGCTATAGCATTTTCTCTCCTGTTTCTTTTCACCGAGTCTTTGGATATCGTCTTCAAACCATACGGATTTAGCCAGACTTCATACTCGTTAGCATTCATTGCATATGCTATAGGAATGATTTTTGGTATTCCGGTCAGGTTGGTAGAATCTTTTCATCTCAAGAAGCGTGCAGAAACGAAAGAACTAGAACCAGAAGACAAAATAATCGGCTTTGCTACCGGAGCACCAGCATTGGCAGCTGGCCTTTGGCTTATGGCTTGGACAACTCCACCTTTAGTCCATGGCATTGACTGGGTGGTACCGATGATAGGATTAGCAGGTGCTGGATTTGCATCGAATGAAATTGAGTATGCACTTGGAAATTACCTAGCTGATGTAAGTTACCCTACTCTTACTCTTCCCCTCAGTCCTGACTGACACATACAGACATATACTGTCTACGCATCTTCCGCCTTCGCCGCATATTCAACTCTCCGAGCCCTTCTCTCTGGTATATTTCCTTTGTTTGCTGACCGAATGTATAATGGCTTGGGTTCAAATGTTGCCGGCTCGATACTAGCTGGCGTTGCAACTTTATGGCTCATTAGCCCTTATGTTTTTATGAAGTACGGGAAGACCTTGAGAGAGAAGGGAAAATTCGCAAAGTTTAGTTTGGATACTGATCCGAATCCTCAGGCACTAGATGTATTAGGAAGGCAAGTTTGTTGAGATTTTAGACAAAAGCATGCGTTCAAAAACGCAGAGAAGATGTATTAGTTGGTGCATATAATAGATCACTTTATTTCATTAAATAGAACTAATTACTCATGTAAAACCACAGTTGTGTTGGAGCCCTTCGACTAGACCTTTCTCTGAATAATGCTTCAAATACCCTTTCATTTCACAGTCTTGGATACAATGCTTCCGATTACTATCAGTACAAGCGGAAGAAAAATGTAGCACCATTGTACTACGGCAAGAGCAGCATTTGGCGTTTTCTTGTCTTATTCGTTACTCAATTCTTATATTTTCAACCTTGAAATGAAACGGAAAATAGAAGAACGCCACCTATACAATTAGTCAAAGTTGATAGAGTAGCAATACTTATTATACAAGGCTATTCTCGATAGCCAGGCAGACAAAGCTGACAGATTCCGAGTGGTGAATAAAATTCTATCTATCAAATCCCATCTTGAGATACATGGCAAGTTATTTATGATTCTTCCTAATACGAGGGATTATAGGATGCAACCAGTCTTTTAACTTCTAAAATCAACCAAATTGTCTTCCGGGCTGAGGTGTGCTTCTTCTTCCAAGTCTCCTTTCTGGTCTTGTACGCAGTACACTTAATCTTATCTACACCCTCAATCTCTCAATCTCGAGGTCAACAACATCACAAGTTTCATTCCTCTTTTTTGAACTGTCGATTCTTCTAGCCACAAAATACAAATACTCATCTCAGAATTCAAGACTCGTCAACTATCAACAATATGGAGTCATCCAGGCTTCCCATTGTAGAAACCGACAGCGACATAGATGAAGAGAAAACTGAGTTCGAAGCTTTCTTTGCAGAGCAGATGTGATTACAGCTAAGGCCCTTCGAGCTTGGTGAAGGAAGTTTCAAAGAGGTAATTTGAAGAATTCTTTTGAGAAAAAAATGTTTGGACCTCGTCTTTCCTATGAGTCAAGTCTGAACAAATACCCGGTAAAATGCTATCGGCTAATTATACGTCACAGTGCATCAATAAGACTATTGCCAAAAGGTACCTCAACATTTCTACACAGTATCGGAAGGTATCGCAGGATGTCAGTAGGGGTTCTTTCAACGAAGAGAGATTCATAGCAGACGAGGAGAGGTTTGCTGCTACCAGACGTGCAGAAGTGCTGCCAGAGCTTAAAGTAAGATAGTTCTCTAGCTTCATCTTTTAACATCTAACATCAATCGTATAATAGGTACTGGAGGACAACATGCGCGAGGTCTCCGGGTTTCAAACCGCAACGGCAATGGAGAGGGAAAACGACTAGCTCAGGGAAAGAATGGAATTACTTGAACCCATTGTATCTCATAGCCTAACCGTACGTCGAGGCTTCTTCGAAACTGGCACGATGAAGTATACTGAAGGGAAATGGATTTAAACAGAGGGTAGAGGCTCGCCAGATAAAGACATTATAGCCCAGCATAATATCGCGTGTCGCTATGATAACATCGATGTCGACTTTGCAGATTGGAAGCTGTCTGACTGGGAGAAGTATGATATTCGTTACGAGGATCTTGAAAGCTTCTACGGTATCTCGTGTTCCGAATACGGATCGAGTTAACACTTCGGAGGATCTCTCTTGGATGTATAGCTTGCGGGCAACTGTGTTCAGGTGTTTCCATCACACTGAGCATACTTATGACAAGGAAATGGACAAGAGTTTTGATCAAAACTTTGCAGAATACATGGGAATTTATAATTGTCTAGCTCAAGACTGGCTTGGGAAAGATAGAGATAGCGACTTGGGCAGAGTTAGAAGGCTCGGCAATCTCGAGATCGAATCTGGGTGGACGGAGAGTTCGCGGGGTCTTGAATTTATGAAATATGCTGGAAGAAAAACAATCAAAGAGGAGAACAGATGTTCTCGGATCCGTTTCTGTTCCGATCATGGCAAGTCTCGTAGACTTTAGTCGGGAGATTCTTGGGGGGAAATACCGCAGTTGTCGTTGCATACCTGGAGGATGCATGAAGATTTATTCACTTAGACTTCACAGGCCCTTGCAAATACCTTATCTCAGTCCTCATCTTTTGCGTGGTCTGTTAGTCAGAGATCAAAGGGCTTCATGGAAGTTTGTGGCATTGGAAGATGCTGAAGAAGATTGTTAATAATAGAGTAGTAGATGATAGCGTACCCTTCCGGCATGACCAAAACGTGATCATATAGATTCGTTCTATGGTAGGTAGTAGTGCGATTTAGGCATTTCAAAACTCAGTAGAGATGGCACTTTTTCCCTCGGTGCAACCATACCTTGCTAGGCTTGGAAAATGATGAGACGAACTACTGAAGTCCTTGAATTATAGATCGTGAAGGACTACCTAAAACAAGCTAATGGCAAAATATATATATATATATATACCGTTCCAATACATATTCAAATTCGCGAGTCTTTTGTAGAACAGCAGGATATCAAACAGCTCATAAATGATCCTAATTGACCACTAGATATCAATTCAGTCAATCTATCAAATGATATCACATGATTAATACTCATTCATCGCTAGGGGAGGGGGGCGTGTGCACTATCTTCCTCCAACCATTCAATAGGTTTCAAGCTCTATAGACAGGTCTCACACTCTATCTCATCACACGTACTCGTAGCCATCATTGTCTAACCAAAGCATGCACAGATAACTACTCAAATAGGTATGTTACATATTTCTTATCCTGCAACTCCCACCTCGAATCCTCATTGGACGAGCCGAACTCCTGCAGCTTCATTTTTACATGGCCCCCCGGTTAACCCGCGCATCACCTTCCTTCCCCGCCTTTGCAATGCCGGAGACTCCAGATGTGGTTTCGCACCGTTGATCGATACATACACACATATGGTGCCACCGAATCCGTAACGTAGGTTGTAGCTGAATATGTATGTATCTGCTGTGCAACAATACACATGTACAGCTTAAAGCAAATCTAGATTATTCCCCCGATGAAATTTCTGTATCTCATTCTTTTTGCAAATTGTTCTTCGAATCTCATCTATGATTCAAGAATCCCCTGATACCCAATCAAACCATGACAACAAGTACAGAAACCCCAGAAAATATCTCTACCTCCCCAAATTCAGAAACCCTCGATGAAAAACCAGGAAGTGCCGAACTCGACGCCCCAAGCACCACTCCCCCAGATGAAGAAATCCAAATCTCAAAAGAACTCGACCAACTCATTACCAAGAAATTCGATCGCCACATCGTTCCTTGGCTATTCGGCCTATGGCTCTTGGCTTTCATCGACCGCTCCAACATTGGCAATGCGAAAATCGATGGATTAGCTGCCGATTTGGGGATCTTAACGGGAACAAAATTTAACATCGCGCTGGCTATCTTCTACGTTCCGTATATATGCGTGGATAGTATGTCAATCTCCCAATTATCACTTAATCACTCAAGCCTCACTCTAACCGCAATCCAGTCCCCTCAAACTGGCTCGTCAAGCGCATAGGCGCAGGCTACTACCTCCCCGCCCTAATCATAGGCTGGGGCCTCATAAGTCTCTGCATCGGCTTTGTCACCACCTGGAAATCCCTGCTCATCGCGCGATTTTTTCTCGGTCTCATGGAAGGCGGTCTCCTAGGTGGTATAATCATCTACCTCGCCATGTTCTATCGTCGTCACCAGCTCATGCGACGGATTGGTCTCTTCTACTGCGCTGCCCCTCTCTCCGGTGCCTTTGGAGGTCTCCTCGCTACGGGCCTCTCGGAGATAAAAACAAAGGGGTATAACGGATGGCCGTTTATATTTTTCGTCGAAGGCGGCATCACGCTTCTCTTCGGCATTGTGACGATTTTTTCCTGCCGCATACACCTTCGCACTCGAAATTCCTCACAGAAGAGCAACGCTATCTCGCAATCCATCGCATGAAACTTGATTACCGCGGTGCGTCGCCCGTGGCCAATATAGATAATGAGAAATTTGACTGGCACTGGGTGAAGCTCGCCGTGTTTAATTGGAATACGTGGTTACTTTCTTTGAATTTTTTTGCCGTCATCACGCCCATCTATTCGTTTTCGCTCTTCTTACCGACTATCATCACTGCGTTGGGGTATACGAGGGTAAATGGTAACCCCCCTACCTCCCTTTATTTCATCTTCACTCCTACCAATACTCTCAAAAGAGCTAACCCCTGACCCCCTTAAGCAAACCTCCTAACCGTCCCCCCAAACATGACCGCCTTCCTCAGCGTAATCCTGGTCACCTCCCTCTCAGACCACTTCAAGCGTCGCGGACTCTTGATGCTTATCTGCGCTAGTATCGCAATCGTCGGTTATATAATGCTCATCGCAACCTCAAGACCTCACGTTCAATACGGCGGTACATTTCTCGTTGCCGCGGGAAGTTTTGCGTGTCCGCCTGTTGTTATGGGTGTGTACTTTTTCTTTCTTCTTTCTTCTTTCTTCTTTTCATCTTGACTTCTATGCCCCTCCTTCTCCCCCTCTTCCTTTCGCTCTCTATTCCAAATGAAAAAAAAATGAAAAAAGAACTTTAGGACCACAACTCCAAACTAACCCCCCTCCCATCCCCAGGCTGGCTAGCAAACAATACCTCCCCCCACTACGTACGGGCCTCGGCCTCCGGTCTTCAAATCGGCCTCGCCAACATCGCCGCCTTTATCGCAACATTCACCTACATCGCCGCCGACGCCCCGCGCTACATCACCGGCCACGCCATCAATCTCGGTATGTTGGGTTTGTGCTTGGTGGTGACGAGTATCACGATGGGGTATTGTAAGTGGGAGAATGGGAAGCGGGAACGGGGAGAAAGGGATGGGAGACTGTTGGAGGGGAATACCGAGATGTTGGGGCACAGACATCCGGAGTTTAGGTATACTGTTTGAGTGTAGTGGTTGATGGGTAGGTTTGTTGTAGGTTATGGAAGGGATTTCCAACTGCTTGGATGATTAGTCGGAGGAAGTAGATATATGAGGAAGAGATTGCAGTAAAAGCACCAAGGAGCAAGGAGCAAATGACAAATCACGGCAGCTAAAGCCTAAAGAGATGAAGTAACTTTAATAAATATTATAACTCGCTACCTAACACCAACCAACTACCAATACCTAGCGATAAAAAATTAAAATAAAAAAGGATTAAAATAAAAGGCGAGAATGTTGGATTCCCCCGAGAAGAAGTATTCGAAAGTTCTCTCCTAAAATCATCTCCAAAACCTCTCACCATTCTTCCAAACCAAAGAAAACTCAATCCGTCCCACTCATCGCTCCAAAAACATCAATTCGAAAAATGAAGAGAAAGATACAAAAGAGATCCTCCCATTCTCGTTCCCATCCATCAAACTCCAATCATTCCAACACATTATCGGCGGCCCTCGATTGCTCAAATACCAGTCGATGCTCATCCATCACGCTCTAGCAAACTTCTATTCGTTTCTATACCGTATCGTGTATATAATCGTGATTGCCAGATGGAAACAAAGCGAGAAAATAATTTAAGAAGTCAAAGGATCGCAAATCCAGCTTTGGACTCCTTTGTCGTAGTAGCCTTGCAATTCTGCAATACCCTTGGAGTCGATGACGGCATAGTCGCCGACACACTATTGTCTCTTGGTTAGTATTTGGGTTTGATTTCAGATAGATTATGGACGATGGGTATTAAAATCTAGGGATGGTCTTACATCCTTCTGGGTGTAGAGCCAGCAAGCGGGTGTGTTGTCAACGTTAATGTTCATTGATTCGGTATTCTTGTTGAAGAGATCTGGCATATTGTTGCAGACACCGACAGTGGAGTAACCGTTGTAGACGAATCCTTCGTAGTTCCAGTCGGTGTAGCCTTGGAGAAGAAGTCTGATAAATGTATTAGTTTATTTTGTTGCTTTGAAGTGCTTTGATGCGGATTTGAATTCAAGTGAGTCAAAAAAGTAAAAATCCATACACAGATTTTCCATCTGGTGAAGCAAGGTTGCAGCTGCACTCAAAAACACCTGGCCAAGAAGCTGGGTTTTGCCAAACACAGCCTGCGGAGCTGGAGCAGAAAGAATCAGTTGTCTTTAAGACACCAGCGAAGACTGTAGATGAGAAAGCAAGAGTTGCCAAAATGGCAGAAGCAGCTTGCGTGAAATGCATAGTGACTTATGGGCGTTGGTAGGTGGAAACTTTTGGTTTGTTTGAAGGATTATTTGAGTTTGTGGTTGTTGCTTGCTGAGTGGGATAGTTATTAAGTGAAGACTGGATGATGTTGTTGTGATGAAGGAAGAATGTCTAATCGCTCCTTCCTCTTCTTATATACTTATCTCTCGACCACCTTATCATTCCACAACTGCCTCATCTATACTCCAAGAGAAGAAACTAAGCAATATTGCGATGTTGTCGAGTTCAGCCAGAAATGATTTCTTGGCCGGAATTCCCACCTTCCGGACAAGTAAATACCTCATCGTCGATGATCTTTCAGATCTTCGATTCGGGGCCGTCAAGTTAATCGTATTGAGCATGTAGAAGTATATCCAAGAGATCAAAATACGAGATAAATCAAGTGATACTACACTGAGATGATGAAAATTGCACAGAAAGTTTCCCTTATTGGTGGTGGCTTCTGGACATACAAACCAAGACTGCGCCAGTCAGTGAGGGTCGGTTCCAGTCTTGCCTAAATTACCTTCTAGCTTGAACGTCAATTTGCTCCGTTAGGTATGACAAATTTGTAAATAGCGTGAAAGATATGTTAAGGAATATGACGGTGATTAGATCGACGTATCATCTGCACTGTTTCATTAATTGGACATGTATCACGGAGACATCAAATTTGATCGTCTTTGATCTTGATAGAATAACATGCGTTACCCAAGTAGGAGAAATTTTAACGTGCTGTATACTTGAAATATCAGATTTCACAAAGACGTTGGGTGCTTGAAATGCACCAGCAACGTGGCAGATTCAAAAATGCTGATGTGACAAAGTGACTCGGGCGCTCGAGATGTTCTATAACTATGAACATAGATATGTAACGACATACTAGACTTCGGTGAAAACCGAGATCGAAGTCAGAATTGGAGATGTGAAGAGCATATGTCACGATACGAAGTCGTCGGTACACTTACACAATCGCCGTTGCTAGCACGGCAATAATAGGAATCAACCGAAGGTGCCGAGGGGCACAGCCGAACATTGTGATTATGTTCCACTACATTCCCAACGAATAAATTGACGGCTGAATGACTGTTATTCCATAATACCTGAAGTAGAGAGTCTTCTGATGGTTCAAAGTTCTATTGCGACGATACATGTATCGTACCAAGATGGGAATTGAATCGAAAAGCCATGAGATCTGTTAAAGTTCCGTGGTGACTCATATATTACTGGTGTCGTAATGTACAAACTTTTGTATTTGGTGAAAGAATTGGAGGAGAGATTACTCAAAACTTTATTACATACGTCTCATCTGAACTTGAATTTGCAATGGACTTAGTCTCGAGAGTTTGGCCGACACAAATTGTCCATTCACAAAATAGCAGGTTTTTTGAGGCTGTTTGAAACCAAATATGGCTCAAATATTGTTCCTGATCCATGCTGCTGACAACATGGCTCAAGATACCCTACATAGTGTGAGGTCTGTTGGAATGAGATTATAGATTGCGGGAACGTACCTTTCAATTATCATGTTACGAATGAGGAGTTGATAGATCCAGCCTCGGTGATAAAATTGATACCCACCATTCAATCGATCTCGGACATTATTCTTCGCCAAAAGGATGGTTAAACTTCAGCAGCCCATTCAAGCCTCCAACCCAACCATCGTCATCCTTCATGCCACTTTTGGCCCCTCTCATAACACAAGGAACGCCCCCACCCCACTCGCTGCTGCCTTTTACCATTTCCTCGCCTTGGACTCTCACTTCCATGCCGACGCCAACTCCAATACTTCGTCTCTGTCCATCAATACTAACTTCCAATTCCCTTCCTCTATTCTTATCACTCAGTCGAAGTTTGATTGGTGTATTTGCAGGTACCACAAGAGGTCTAAATGAAAGACTTCTTGGACAGATCGGTGTCAAAAGGAGGCTGCTGACGAGGGGGTGAATAATACTGCCACCAGAACTCAGACTATATGCCGTACTTCCTGTTGGTGTGGAAATGATCATACCATCTGCAACAGCCTCAGTCAAAAATTGATTATTGACAAAAACTTCAATAATGGCTAAATGTGCTTCTTTCCCCCGATGAATAATAACTTCATTCATGGCATGCACATCGCCTTCTGCACTCTCGTGAGCACTTTTTCCATCAGCGTCAAAGACCTCTACCTTCAATCTATTTCTGAGAAGTACTTTCGAGCTCCTGGTTGGTCCCATGGACTTGCCTCTCATATTTGACCAGCCAGACATATCGTCAATCTTATCTGAAGTAGGTGTTTGGATGTGAGGATGCATCTCATCTTGAAAGAGGTGAGACCCAGCAGCAGCGCCCGACATGTAGACTTCTCGAAAGGCTCGTTTATATTCAGCAAACTTCCATTCTCCCAAGAAGCCTAGAGTACCCATGCTAAAGGAAAGAATTGGAGGAACATGACGAGTTGTGCTGAAAAGAGAAGAGGCATGTAAAATTGTTCCATCTCCCCCAAGTGTTGTTACCATATCAACTTTAGATGGGAAGAGAGATGGATGATCAGTACTGTATATTGGAAATGTCAAAGAATTGTGTATACTCTCGGCCACCTTTTGCTCGAATATGAGAGATGTGTTGCTGTAATTTGAGTGTATATGTCTGGTACCCAGTCAGCTGAGAGTTTAGATAGTAGATGGAAATATGTTTTACGAACTTTACATATTCAAGGAGAGCCTCAGCCACGGTCGGGGAACGATCCTTTTTTATGATGAGAAGATTTCGAGGTGGTGAGGGCCATTGTAAAGAAAGGAGATCACTCTCTTGTGAACCTATTAATTTCCACGTGAATATTTGTATCAAGGTACAAAGACGCATTTGGGAGCTTACGATGATATCGAGGAACTATTCTATCCGGCAAACTTTTTATATCTAAGATTTCCGATCTTGGTGTTGTGTTGCTAAAAGATCTCAGTTGTACGGAGCGAAATCTGGGCAAAATCCTCGGAAACATGTTGACATTGAAAAGCGGTAAGAGATGCCAATGAGTTCGTTGTACAGACTGACCCAAGTGCCGAGATGACCTTACACAAGCCGTCTATGAAGCTTCTCCTGAATGGTCGATAGAGTAAAGAAGTGACTAGCACGCGAGGGGTACAATTGACATTATTGGTGGAGATGTCGAGAGTTTGTTGGATATCGACTGATTTGGCCAAGGGTTTGATGCCGATGAAGTTCTAGCTTTGTGTCAAGCAATTGATTGATAACAAGAGCACAATGACTTGAGCGTGATGGAGCTTTATTCATGAATAGATGGGTGGATGGATGGATGGATGGATCGATGGATGGATAGATGGATAGCTATCTAGTCACCCTCATCGGAAGAAGACTCTCATGTGAATTTTGGTTGTTTGGGAAATATATTTTCCCACGGTTTGGATGACAATTCTCACGATGGTGATTCGAAGCCAGTGTGTACCTAGTAGTCATACCCGTCCGTATCTTTCTTATCAAGCTTCACTTCAGCACTCGAAAAACCACGATATGGTCTGTGCATACGATCCGAGCAAGGCTCTACCTGGGTGCGAGAGTGTCTACGTAAAGCTTTTATCTTCTTACCATAGCTTACTTCACTCTTCACTCACTTCACTCCAAACATCACTCACATGCTATTTATTTACTTCGTCGGGTACGAGGTACATATGTTGATCCCTCCCCTCACAACTCGACAACCACACAAATACACATCTCTGATATATAATATATAATATAATATATAATTAATATATAATCAAAAATCCCGCAAAAATGAAGGATTGAATGAGATAATTTAATATTCACTTCAGATCAATCTTCACATATACTTCTTTTCTTTTCCTTTTTCTTTTGCTCGTAAAGCTTCCGGCAAGATCCAACCAGTACCTACCTAATCCACCCCACCAAAGCAAACTACCATAGCTGCCAGTAGTACGAAATAGCCTTCCAACCCTCTAGCCTTCCCGCCTTCCCGAGCACACGACAAATCTGCCTAGTCATATCCTTTCTCAAGAGAGCCTCACTGTGCATATTTAAACCTCAGAGCTTACCTTCCTTCTCGATCAACATATCCAGCGGAAAAATTTGGTGCTTTCAATCATCAAATAATCATGGCCGACCAGAACCTAAAGCAAAGGAACAAGGCTCCAACCATGCCGGCGCCTGTACCGGATTTTGGAGGAGGAACGAAGGAAAAGGCTTTGGAAGAAGGGGATCATCCGTCTGGTGAAGTTAGGCATGGATCGGTCGCACAAATCGGCAGACTGTTAAGTTTTGCGACTTATTTCTGGGCTTGCTGTTCTACGTAAGTTATGCTGGATGAGATCCGACTTTTACTTTGCTAAACCTACACAAGGATCCAAGCTACACAACTTATCGGCGTACCTTTGTATTGGATAAATCGAGATGTATATTATTCATGGATGGCACTTACGAAACAATCATTTGGACTTTTAATAACGACGATGACACAATGGTGGAGTCCAACAGTGGTTAGAATAAGTGGTGATGCTTCAGTAGCAGGACAATTGCGGAAAACTGCGGATGGAAGAGCAGAATGCGATTTCCCAGAAAGATTGATTATGATTGCGAATCATCAGGTATGTACAAGCTTGGAATGCGTCAAGCGCATGGTACTAAACGTTTCACAGCTCTACACAGACTGGCTCTATCTCTGGTGGGTGGCTTATACCAACCAACCTCAAACACATGGTTATATCTATATTATTGCAAAAGACTCTTTAAAATGGGTTCCGATTATTGGATGGGGAATGCAGTTCTTCAATTTTATTTTCATGTCAAGAAAGATGGAAAAAGATCGACCAGTAATGGCCCATCGATTCAAACAACTTCAAGAGAAGCGCCCGGGAGCTTCGGAACTCGATCCTATGTGGCTTCTATTGTTCCCCGAGGGTACGAATGCAAGTGATAATCGAAGAGAGGCGAGTGCAAAATGGGCGGCAAAAATAGGCGTTAAGGATATGGAGCATACTCTTCTTCCAAGAAGTACTGGTTCCTTTTTCTGTTTAAATGAACTCAGAAAGACAGTGGATTATGTATATGATTGTACAATGGCCTATGAAGGCGTTCCGTAAGTATCCATTCTTCGAAATAGCTGGTTTATTCTAATGATTTCTAGGAGAGGAAAGTTTGGTCAGGATTACTTTACTTTGACCTCTTCATATATCGAGGGGCGGCCACCAAAATCAGTAAATCTCTTTTGGCGCCGATTCAAAATTGCCGATATACCTCTGGATGATGCTGAAAAATTCGAAGTATGGTTGCGAGAGAGATGGTACGAAAAGGATGCTTTGATGGAGCAATACATGACTACTGGTCGATTTCCTGCCAACGTGACTTCAGAAAAGGGGACCGTGGAAGAATTCATTGAGACGGAAGTTAGACCAAAACATTGGTGGGAAGTTTTTAACATCTTTATTGTTTTGGCAACTACAGGATTAATCGCCAATTTACTTGCCAAGGTTTGGAATGTAGTCTTATATGGTAGCACGAGGAGATGAAGTTTGTGTGTACCTGGAATTTAGAGGTAGGAAATTTTGGTCTACATAGGATTTGAGGGTATGGCTAAAGGTATGAATGTATATGGATGGACAGCATAGCATGGATTATTAATGACTCATGGAGTGCGTGGTGTTTTTTAAGGTCGGGGTGGGTGGGATAGGCATTTTTCATATCAGATATTCTCATCTCTACTTTTATGCGAAATACCCAGATGGATGGATGGATGGATTAGTAGGTCAGGTTAGGTTAGGTTGTGAATAGAAAAGGGGGAAGGAATGGACGAATGGACGAATTATTCATAGGCTTATAAATAGTGAGAATATATTTCTTGAGATCGATTTGATGTGATGTGATCTGATGGGTATACTCGTGGAAAGATTCTCTTGGACTGTTTTGTATTGGATTTGGTAGTCTTGTACTATACTCTTGCTGATCTATCTGTGAGAGTCGAGATCTTGTGATTTGTTAGGTATGTATGTTGTGGATACTACCAAGTAGGTAGTTTCATACTTCATACTCGATACTTTGCATAGTACTATTACATCCATACCTAGGCAGTTCCGGGTTTACATGTACTTTTCTCTCTTTGTTCTCCATTTCTTTCTTACTCGGTTAATTATTTGATCGGACATCCTTAGTTATTTGGGTAGATGGGTATAAGGATAGGTAGATATAGGTGGGTATGGATAGGTATAGATGGGAATATATATCCACTAGTATTCGTTTACTAGTGTGCTATGGACTCCTATATCCCATTCACTCCAATCTATGCTCAACTACTTATTACTCAATTCTTTGCACACCCACGTACTTTCCCATCGGGTAATGATAACTGGGTGGCGGGTGGGCGGGTACCTACCTATTGAGTCTAGCGATTTGAGTTGGTGTTCATCTAGTAGGTGGGTATGTATATTATATTGTATATTATATGTAAGATGCCATTTATTGATTTTCATCCTTTTCTCGTTTTTCTCTCCGCTGGGTGATTCTTTTCTTCTGTTTGTTTGTTGTTTGTTTTTTGTTTGTTTGTTTCGTTTCGGTTTGACTACTTATTACTTGAGTTGGAAAATATGAGGGGGTGAGAGAGGAGATTATATGAGTATATTGATATACTAGTATATGTTTATATGTTTATATATATATCAGTAGAAGATCTTAAAATCTCAAAAGATTAAATAGCTAATACTAATATTAATATTAATACTGATGCTAATACTAATATTAATATACCTATTGAAGTAAAGTTTTATTTAGTTAGTGTCTGAATGTCTGTATATCTAGAAGTCTGAATTGAATAATTAGTTTTTTATTGAGTTATAGATTAGTGATAGTATAGGTAGATGATAATAGTGTAGATGATAATAGTTTAAATGATAATAGTATAGGTGATATATAAATAATAAATATTTTATTCTATTTTATCATATTCGAATTCTGATATTATATAGCTTTAAAAAGAGAGAGAAATAGAAGGGAGAAGAGAAAGGAAAGAGAAAAGAGAGAGTAAAAAGATTACTTATCTATCTCTTCCTTTTTTCGTTTTACCCAGAAACGAGAAAGAGATATATATTGTATTGAAGATAAACAGATAGATAGATAAATAGACGTATACCCACTTCAGCTGAACTCAACCGAAAAGGAAGATATCGTTCAATCTTGCTAGCGAGGCTCTCTTGGGTCTCTTAGAGATGAGAGATAGAGATTTTGTAAAAAGGTATCTCTGTGTATGTGAGATGGGATGGTTGTAGTTGATCTACTGGGCTGACTTGTTCTATTCTTATGTGTTGGGGTTTTATTTTGTTGGAGTTCTATTGGAGTTCTATTTTATTCTATTTCTCACTCTATCTCTCACTCTATCTCTCACTCTATCTCTCACTCTATCTCTCATTTCATATCTATCTCGATTTTAGGATTAAGATGTAAATTCAAATCTACATCTACATTTAGATTTATAACTATAACTATAACTATAACTATAACTATAACTATAACTATAACTATCTCTTATTTTATATCTATATCTATATTTATATCTATATTTATATCTATATTTATATCTATATTTATATCTATATTTATATCTATATTTATATCTATATTTATATCTATATTTATATCTATATCTATATCTATATCTATATTTAAATTCTATATTACTCTTATATTCATTCTAATTAATATTTAGATATAAATCTAAAGGCAAATTTTTACATTTAATTTTAATTCAAAATCGCTATGAAAAAATGAATTAAATAAGAATAAAATAAAACAAATATGAAGTGAAAATATATACATATAAATACCTCTATTTCTATCTATCTCTATCTCCATCTTCACCTTCACCTTCACCTTCACCTTCACCTTTATCTCAAAGTTCAAATTAAAGTTCAAATCAAATTAAATTAAATTATTATATATAATAGTCATCTATTTATCCACCCCTTTATCTACTTACTC